GATTTATTTCCTTACTCCTACTCCTTACTCCAGCTTACTCCAGCTTACTCCATGTATTGTAGACCAGCCTTTACACCTGAAAATAGCCATTTTAAGTTCAATATATTCCGATAGAAAAATTTCTCTTAAATAAATTTTCTTATTGGATATCTTTTAGCGTCTTTCTTCAGGTGTACAGGCATTCATGACGCTCTGTACACTTTAGTATGTGTATCAAACAGTCTTCAGTGTAAAAACATCAAAAGTCTCCTAAAGATCGATATACAAACTTGTTTAATAAATCAGCAATATCAATTAAAATTTATTCGATGTGCAGAAGGGTGGCATTCGTGTGGCCGAGCAAGCGAGTGCCAACAACGTTAATAACGTTAATCAGTGGGTGCCGTCCAGCGACTGGGTGTACCAGTGGAAGAGCAAACTCCCGCTGCAGACCATCATGCGATTGCTCCAGGTTCTCGTTCCACAGGTTGAGAAGATCTGCATCGACAAGTGAGCGAACATTCTGGACCTTTGTAAATAACAGATCGTCGAATTTGAGCGCTTTTCATCGGCATTCGTAGAATTCTTGTATAAATAACCCTTCTGATTGTTTCACACTTATAAGTTCTCTTTTATTGATTGTAACAGGGGGTTGACAGACGAGAGCGAGATCTTGAAGTTCCTGCAACACGGTACCCTCGTCGGGTTGCTGCCAGTGCCGCATCCTATCCTCATCAGGCGGTATCAGGCTAACGCCGGCACAACCGCGTGGTTTCGCACGTACATGTGGGGCGTTATATATCTGAGAAACGTCGAACCACCCATATGGTACGATACGGACGTCAAGCTGTTCGAGATCCAGAGAGTTTAGATAACAATCGCTAAGAGGTTCGTTATCGTTCGCACTTGAAATACTGTTTTATTGGCAGTGCGCAGAAGATGAGTCTCATCGAATTATTGTGTATCATATAGCATCGTTCTTGAACATTAATTAAAATTGAAGGATTCAATACAATCCACTTTTTTAAGAGCTCGATGACATATAAGTTTCTTCAGCTCTGAAGTAAACTTTAAAATAATATCAGTTTAAATGCATAATTACGAAGAGAGCTCTAAAATAAGATCCTCCGAGATGTCATAAAACCGTGTTAGACCATTAGAATCCTTCAGTTAACTGAAATTTAATTGATTCCTCGTCTCTTTAGTTGAAGAAAAAAATCCGGCAAAATTGGTTCCCTTAAATTTATTCGACTAGTCGATAATGGCACCATTCCTGCGAGTTAAATCAACTTTTAATAGGCAAGAAAGAGGCAAGAATCAATTAAATATCGGTTAATTTTGACCAATGTTTACGAGAATTTAATGAGACACAGCGCGACGAACACATTGAGTCACACGCTTCGTCTCATTTTCGATTACTTTTTACACTGCGAGATTCTCCAAAGTACTTTCATCTGGATGTAACATACATGTACTGTATACAGATCGTAAATATCGTTTGCAATCGGCCACTGATTTATTATAACAATTATTGTATCCCGAAGACTGTAATCTCGTTTGTAACATAGTAATATACTGTCAGTAAATGGAAAAGATATATCGTCGATCTTAAGGAAAAATCTGTCAATGAAATTAATTTAATAGACGACAAGAACCGACTATAAATAAAATAATATATTTTAAACTTTACTTATACATTTCTTCGCATTTTTTATGTACACTTTTACTGTCGTCAATTACGATTCATATTTTACAGTTTTGATTTCTATCGTTTTAATGAATCTCCCTAAATAGAAAAAACTAAATTTATCGCATAATTATTTTTACGAAAAAAGGACATTCGATTATTGTTTCATTAAGACCGGCGATATCGTAGATCGTTATCAGAGCTAGAGAATCCATCTTTCGCGATATGTAGCTGCGCTTTTCGGAAGATGATTTTGTCCGCTTTTGCACCTAACTGTTATATATTTCGCGTACAGCTGTAAACTGAAGTAACACTTAAATGCTTATTTATACGTGGAAACCGTTTCACACTTTCGCGAAAGGTACTGAATCTGTACCACAAGAGAACTTCTGGGTCCGCTTTTATTAAACTCACCGCAACACCACGTGGCCTTTCTTCTTTTTGTCTTACAAGTGCGAGTTCATTTTTAAGAGTGTAAATAAAAACGGACCCGACGAAAATGCTTTTTACGAATGACGACGTTGTGTGCGGCGAATCAACTGCGATTTTTTTAAAACTGTAACGTAGGAAAAACGGACTTTAGATACTTCTGCTCTTCTTAGAACTGCACCCTCTTAGACTTTTTATGATACAAAATAAATGTTCGCTCAGGCCTTGCGTAGAAAGAAGAAACCAATGAAGTACAGAAGCAAAATTCATATTCTCTAATGCCATATTTTCCGTTTAGTCTTTTGCAGTGTTTCTTGAAGAAATCGATAATTTATCGTGACATAAAAGACATATAAAAAAGAGAGATAGATATATATATATATAGTAAAAGAGTAATTCGAGTTTTGCTCCTTACATCTTTGAAATGAGAACAAGATTGTAAGTGCAGTTAGAAATGACGATGAGTTTTGTACATCACGGTACACCTGCGACTTATAGTTACGAAGAACATCCAAATAGGATCTCACATCAGTATGTATTATATGTAGTTGTCTTTAAATATATAGAGTTATAACACAAATGATACTTTACATGTGTGTACGCACACACACACACCCTCTCTCTCTCTCTCTTTCTCACGCATGCATTCATGGAAAGAGAAATACAAAATCATGTTGCACTTCACATGACAACTTGCTTGCTAACATTACACGTAAACTATCATGAAATGCACGTGCTCCTATGTCGCAAAGCACGCAATGTATATCGTATATATGATATTTGGTAACGAGCGCGTTTAGCGGACAGAAAGTTACTAAACAACTGAAACTGTTCGCCAAACGCGCCTACCGTTACCAACTTATCGTTAAGTGGCGAACGAGCCATGCACACAGTTTTACAAATTTGACACCCAGGCTCAAATTGCACGTTCGAACTCGTGCGTTTATTTTCTTTCTTACCGCGAGCACTTCTGCACATATGTGTATGTATGTATGTGTGTATGTAACAAGAGTCGTTTTTATACATATATCATTCTACAAGGTCATAAAGACTTAAGAAATTTAAGTCTCTTAAGACTTGGGAATTAAGTAATCGAACATAAGTCAGTAAATTCTTGGAATTATACATATCGAAGTACCGCGCTCGAATGAGCGAGCGGTCGCTTCGCGGAAGTCTCCTAACCGGGAAAATGAACAAATGTCTCGACCAAGTATCCAGCTGCGCGCCGAGTTGTGGCTAAACCTAATTGTAAGTTAAATATATCACACAGTTTCATAGTAAAGTATAAAAAGATTAGAATACAGTTTACCCGCATCAAAAAACGGAAATTCATTGGCGGAGCGCGGCTCTCTCCGTAATGCCCACTAAAAAATATCGCCGCGTGAATCTTTCCATAAACTGAACCCCTGATGTGTTGTCGATGTGTTATCATCATTGCGCTCTTATCACAGACGTGAACGTTGCTTAAACCTAGAGAATTGATTTGCGCTGTCTTGCGTAGCGGACACTAAAATATTGAAGGAAGATTTCTTAGACGAGCTGTTCTGGTTCGGTTTTATGGCGATTTCATCGCACGACCTTGTCGTAAGAGGGTGGCGGCGCCTCGTCCGAGGGCGCGAGTGGCGGTGGTGACGGCGGTGGTATCAGAATAGCGATGTGATAAGGCGGCGGAGGCGGATTCTGCCTCACCGTCGTCGTCGTGGTCGTCGTCGTCGTGGTCGTCGTCAACGGCACTGTCGCCGTCGCTCTATTGACAACGCTGTCGCTGATGTTGGACGCGTTCGTCAGGGCGGCAATGTGATCCTCCTGCATACGAGCGTTATGCTCCGGCCGACCGTTATAGTAGTATTGGCTCTCACGATAGTACTTGTAGAAGACCGAGTATATACAAGCGGACACCAGCAATATTAGTAGCCCGCAAAACACTAGTATCTCCAGGCCAGGTCCCTGTTAGCGCAAAGGTAAGAACTAATCGATTAGGAAGCGAAACAACAGAGGAATAAATTGCAAAAGCAGTATTTGAATATTTTGATACAATTTTGAGATTAAAATTCTCTCTCAAAACATTGGCGCGCTTACCCGATAACCAAAGTAGAATTTAGCGGCCGCCACGAAGATCGTTATCAGAGCAAATGTGGACCAGATGCCACAACGCAGTCGGTGGCCGGCCAGGTCGGCCTCCTGCAATTCGAAGACGCTCCTCGTTAGTAGGCTTCTGTTCCGCTCTGTACCGTTCGCGCCGGTCGTATTAGACAGAATCAGCTGATTGTTGCTGGTATCGGTGACATTGCTGCAAACAGTGCGTTAAACCAAAGACGATTTAATACCGCCATAGTGCCACGTATCTTTGTACTAAACTCACAAAACTGCAAACCGAGGGCGAATCATTTATAAGTAATCTTTCTGCTGGTAGACATGTATAAGTGAGTCACCCTGTATATAGGAAGAGCATGTTCCTCTCAGAATGTCTCCTTTCTCTTAGTGTAGACCTTTTTGTGTTTTCATTAATTACTTGGGGATGTTGTTCAGCTGGGCGAGTTGGGCGGCGCTGAGCGACGACGAACCGTGCTGATGGTTCTCGTTGTTATAGATTCGCGCAGACTGTGTCGTTGAACGAGCAACGACGCTGCGGCAGGAATTATTGACATTACTAGGTCCCGCTGGCGATGCGTTTCCGGCTGCGAGGTTACTTGCGAGGCCTTGGAATCGATGCACCGGAGTCACCATTTGCCTAAGTTCACCGCTGCACCGACATTGGCCTGCGAAAACAAGCAATAAAGTGACAAATAAAGAAATGAGACGACAAGGGAAATAAATAGTATAATAAATAGGTAATTACAATGTTTCCTTAATCTTTTCCAATTTGTTTTACAGAATTATCTAAGGAATAATTCCTCAATTATTTGGAGTCCTATATGTTAACAAAAATTGTCTGCGTATAAAATACTAGTAATTTAAAAATTATGTATAAGAACAAATAGAATCGCAATATACAGTTTTCATGTGTCATCCTTTACCACACCCTTGCTTGTACTTTGCTAATGTCTAGGTCAATATCGCCGCGGGATCGGGCGCACTTACTGTGTGATTTAGGTGGCACAGGTGTGGCAGGGTATCGGCGGCTGGTGAAGCCGTAGTACCTGCCCGCCGGTTTGTTGATCCAGAAGTGCATCAGGAAGTCACTGTAGCGGACTCAGAGATCCATCGCTGGCTAGTAATACAAAAACAGTGCTTCAGTATTTTGGTTTTGAATCGAACAGTCTGTGGGTCTCGACAAATGTACAATATTCCTTGCCTGTGTCTTCATGAAAAGCCAAAGAATAAACTGATGCACGAAGAAATGTGGCAAGAGTGCAGTTGAAAATACACATCTACTTCAAATACATCCTTGCATCAACATTTATACATTGTTTAAGCAACGCGTGACGTAGAAATACATACATTGAGGAAAGTTAAATCAGGACAGAGGGGGAAACCGCCGAGGGCACTGTGGTGTACAGATTTGCGGCATTACCTGGCATTACTAGGCATTAGTTTGGGCATTAGGCCTTGCTGGGACATTATAAATATAAAATAAGATAAAATAACATAAAACAAGGCGAATAAGATACTAAGATAAAGTAATGCCCACTTGGCATTAGTGGGCACTGGTGTACAAGATTTTGGTCAGCGGTTTCCCCCTCGATCAGGACCTTCAGGATATAAATCAAATAGAAACAAGAATGCCAAATCATTACTTAGGTCCGGGTAAGCTGAAGGTGGCCGAAATGACTTTTAAATTTAATACAAATATCGCTTACTCTACAATTTCTCGACGATGCACAAATCATGCGTGATCCCATTCCAACATCCCTTTCAACGCGCAGCTCTCCTGCTCGTCGGGGTCGCTTCCAGGTCCCACTGATAGTGTACCTCGGGTAAACGCGTCTTATCGGCCTCCGGTGTGTACTACTCATCGTCTGCTGTAAGCGTTATCGTCGCTGGTGACGCTGGTCAAATTCATCTTCTATCTCAAAACTGGGCTCTGAAAACAAGACCATTCTATCAATGAAACTGATAAGGCGACTGGCGTCTCATGGCAAACGTTGCAATCAAAAGGTACATGGCAAAGGATAGCAAACGGAGGTAAATAAAAAGAAAAAACAATATTTTAGACCCGGTTTCACCAACGTCGCTTAAGTTTAAGCTTAGTTTAATTTGTCCTTTGTCTCTCTTTAAAGTAACAGTCGAAAAGAGACAGAGAACGAATGAAGCTTAAAGTTAAGCGACGTCGGCAAAACCGGACCTTAGACGCCTCACATTTTATATACAAAAATATGTATCAAGTGTATTAAAACCACTCCAGATATTTGCGTCGAAATTAATATCATCAGGTACATAAAGTAAAATTAAATTGTCTTTTAATTGTGTTTTAAGCGATATGAATCACGCGTCTAAGGCGTAGTCAAGAAAAAGTGATGCAGACGCACGTCTATTTCCGTCGAAAGTCAAATAAATACGCTACCCAGTAATCTCTCGGGTCTTCAGGGTCTCTCCGCTCTCATTCTAACGGCACACGGGGCAAAATTAAATGTCATCGCGTGCCCTTTTACTCGCGTCTTTTTCTTTCTACGCATCAGCACGCGATAAATATATAGCGCGAAATATATATGTATATAATGCGGGAGGAGTACGTCGGTTTACGAGGAGACAGCTGTTCCAGCGAGGGGTAAGCGAATCCTACAGCGATCGTGCCGTGCGAGTGCAGAAAGTGCAGGTGGAAAAAGGCGCAGAGGACGAACTCAGACTGGTGTCGTTCCTCTCATCGTCGGAGCTGCGCCTCCCGCGATTGGGAGGCAGGCTCCGGGTTGGAAGAGGGAAGTTTACAAGCGCAAGGTAACGCGAGGATTTGACGAAGGAGCGGGCGCTGGTCCCCTCGAGGTGCCAGCTGGGAAAGGCGTCCGCGACACTCACTCGTCCTCCTCTCATCCCTCGACGTCTCCACTCGCCGTGTCCGACACGCTCGCGGATCGAGTCCCGCTCAGCCGTTCAACATCGACGTCACGCGAGACACACCGGGGTTGAAAACGTATCCCGGTTATTCCGGCACACCGTTCATACTCTCGTCCTGCCGAGGTCGCGCATTACTCTCGGCACTCTGGCTTTTCGTTTTCTCTCCTCTACGAACGCCCGGTCGCGACACCGCTTGTCCTTCGCCGCGCGTCGCCTCGTGTGCGAGAAGAGGTGGAGAGACCGACGGGACTCACGGTGGACCACGGTGGACGCGCGTCGATAACAGACGCCTATTACGCTCGCGCGAGTCGCCGTCGTCAGTCGTCGTCCGCCACAGTGGCTGACAGCGATGTGCGATATCCGTGCGCAGTGATGCAAACATTGAGCGCTGCTAGAAAAACTAGTAACTAAAACAACCAATAGCACACAATCATTTAGTGACTTTTACTCTTAAGCCTAGTGCAGACTGCACGCAGCTAATCGGATCCAGTGTGAATTCTGCACACAGATATCTATACTATAACTAGATCGCTAACTCCTACTGATTTTGTACATAAAATGTGTCCCCGAAAACTATGTAATATGGCGGTCGCGCATGCGTAACGTTGGTAGAAAGCGCATGCGTAACGTTGATGTAGAAAGCGCCAGCACAATATGACAGATAACCTCGTAGGCTGGATCGAGATTTAAGTACGTATTATTGGAAATTCTTATAATGTATTCCGTTCGGGAGTTCGATTCTTGAATCGTTCTCATGGAACACATACGTGAGAACTCTACTCTTACAGAGGAATTGCAAGTCGATTAAATAAAAGCCATGCAAATATCCGTTCGACTTTCAATTCCTTTGTGAGGACAGAATTTTAGCGTACGTTTCTTTTGT